GGTGACCTAAGCTCAGTGTATGTGACTCGGAGGTGCTAACAATGAATTGATCTAATCTGTGACCTTATTCATTTTATTGAAAACTAACCTGTGATGTGACAATGCGGCATGTGTATGAGATTGAATTTGTGCTTTTAATTTTGATGTCTTCTACATTGGGTGGAGTCAAAGTACTAACAATGTGACCTTTGACCTGACTCGAATGTATGTGCATTGGAAGTACTAACAAAGAATAGATCTATGACCTGAGCTGACTGAATATGTGACTTGATTGTTCTAACAATGAAGATCTGTGACCCTATTCAACTTACTGACCCGAGTGTACAAGTGTATGCATATGTGACCTGTTAGGCAGAGCATGTTATTAATTGAATATCTTTGTGTTGTAACATATCATCCGTGTGTGATTTCTTTCAGTACAAGTGTTTAACATTGTCTGCAATTTCAATACAGGCCTGGGAATTCATAATACCAGAAGACAGGTGGTTTCCTGGGAAAATTACAATCTCAATCTGTAAATGTGTCTTGAATACCATTCAGACGAGCTTAAGCCAACCACAGAAATGTATATTGATGGGAACTTGTTTTGCTCATTTTCTATAGTGCGACTAGATCACGATACAACCACAACTGATTCACTTCTTCCTTCTGAGACAGGTTCGTCAGCCGAACAACGAAGAAATGTGGTTTTATGTGGCTGGAAGGTATGTGAGGTTCTCCATCTCCGAGTTCCGTTTAGTCACAGGCTTGAGATGTTATGGACAGTGTGATACACAAATGTATGACAGTAGGACATCAAAACTGAAGGGAAAATACTTTTCTCAAGTGGATAATGTAACACATGAAGACATCAAATCCACATTCTTCTCTGCGTGTTAAATGCCGGACTTAGATCTTGTCGAAGCTCTACCGAATGATGACGTTGCTAGGATGGGTGCGTTGTATTTTCTCATTGCCTATCTATTTCCTAGAGATCACAAGAAAGTTGTTGACAACTACTTGTTTACCCTAGTTGAGGACTTCGATGCAATGAATAGATTCCCATGGGGCAAATTATTATTTGACATTACCTTAGGTTCACTGAAAGATGGGTTGAGTAGGAGAACTCCACATTACAGGCTGCGAGTTATGTTGGTAGCCTTTCAAGTATGGATTTATGAGACTTTTCCAAGTCTAGATGGAATTGTTGTCACACGAACATCGAAGACACATCCCCGAATCATGAATTGGATGGCAGACGAACAACCTTCTGCTGCTCAGTTGGAAGGAGCTGACTGCTTTGCAAATGTTGATGTAATACATCAGTAAGCCTTATTACCAGTATACTGAACTGTTATGATTACACTTTTACTAATATACACTTTTGCAAATTGTGATTTGTGATCTGGAACCATCGGAAATGGAAATGGCCATGCCATATATGAACAATGTCCAGTACCAGAAGCTGATTCAACCGAACTTGTTAAGTGAGAGCTGTAGGAAAAAAAGGACAAAGAAATCAGCCGGCAATGCTAGTGATAGTGGAAAGTCAGTGATCCTCTTAACGGACAGCAGTATGGGACAACCTAATGTGTCGAATGACGATGATGATTTCATTGATCCTCCACCATGACGTCAAGACTCACCCCCCGTGAAAAATCTCCAATTGATGAAGCACCTTCAGCTACTCATAATTCACCAGATGAACCCCTCACATGCCACAATGGGTTCATGTAAGTGGATGTAATTATTTTTTTGAAATCAACGAACACAGATCAATGTCTTAGGTCACATATTACCTTTTTGAAATCATTGGTCACAGATCACTGTGATGTAGGTCACATATCCACTGCATTTTCATCACAGAACATTTTTTCCTAAGTCACATATAACCTTTTTTTTCCATACAACTGATCACACTTGTGTTGTTATGGTGTTATGTCAGGCATATGATGATTTGAGGATGCAAATATGCAAACTGTAGTCGGACAATAAATTGTTGAATAGGGAGCTAGCTGATATCAAGCTACAGATGTCATGCTTTAATAATGTGCACTCAACAAAAATGAACTCCATTATCCAAATGCAAGGTGTCTTAAAAACTGACTTGATGGAGATTCGAACTAACATGCAGTTTCTATCCAAAACTGTGTCAGCAATGATATCATCTTCAATGGAAGAGATCATGAGACGGTTTAGTGAAAAAGTAAAAGATCAAGGCACAGAAGTTCACGGAGTTGGAGACAAGGAAACTCATGTTGCTTGAGGCTCTGATAAGACCGACGAGGTACTTACATGATATTTACACATCTCATTATACACACTATGGTCAAATTGACATGCCAAGTAATCTTCTTTTCCAAGATATAGGTGCAAACAATGCAGCCATATGTTGATAGGAAAGGAAAAGGTAAGATAGACCTAAGTGAAGACATTGGTACTCTCTATAGTCTTCAACCACTATCGTTCGATTTGGGGATCGGATATACGCAACCTGATGACGTACACTCTGAAGACATTCAGAAACAGGTAGATTACATTATATCTGACGTGTTGACGGCAACCAAAAGTGTTCAGGTAGAAATATTCACAAAGCCATTATTCATTCTGTACTTGTCACAGATCAACTACATACCAATAATAGAAAATTTTAATAGGTCACAGATCATTCAAAACTTATTCACGTGTAGTTTCTATGTTTGATGTGAAACTTAACAAGCTTTTACAACAATATACAAGGATCCACGTCTCCTGATGGTCGTTTTGAATTACCAGTCAAACGGGTTTCGAGGCCCGCAAGGATACTGCAGTCTCCGTTCGTTGTTGGAAAAGGTAAATTGTTCAAACAAGATGATCATGTCATAGTTTTTGAGCATTTCAAAGGCGAAGTTGAAGAAGTTGACATATCTACGTTCATGAGTTGGTTCCAGAGGGTTTCAAACCCAAAAACAAGTACGTACAATTTATATATATCTGAGAATGTAACTTAACAATTCATGGTAGCGCAACACTCAATATTCAATTTCGTGTTTGCAGGAGGATGACAAAATCAAACCTGCATTCGTCATCGACTCATTCCCAGTTGGTCACAAGTCATGGTTCTACAATCTTATACACACGGAATCGTCTTTGAATAGCATGGTATAATAAAACCATATTATGCTCTCACATATCCACAGAGTAGCTTCATATTTTAACTTCTTCACTTACATGTCATTGTTGGTCACACTTTCATATATTGGTCACATATACACATGTTGGTCACATTTTCGTAGACTTTTCGTTTCTTTAATGTTATTGTTTCCTTTTATTACAGCACATGGATGTGTGCTTCTACTACATTCGCCAGCTTGCAAAACATGACAAGAATGTAGAGTTTAGAGCCACAACAATAAATTATTGGTTTCAGCATAAAATAAAAGACATATACCCTACTTTTATGAAGGATCCCTAGGTTCTGATGTTGGAGTTGAGTCTTGTTAATGTCATAACTAGTCACAGCATACCTTTAAGCATACCTTGGGCTGATGTTGACCATGTGTTCATGCCAATGCCGCCCACAAACAAGGCCCACTGGATGCTAGGTGTGCTACAATTCAGAAGCCATACCTTGACAGTATTCAATTCAGCAGGTAAAACATATCGTGACTGAATGTTCTAGAAGGCATTGAACCACATGTGAAAATCTTGCCAGCACTTATGAATGCTTTAGGAATTTCGAAAAAAGACCCTAATTACCACGGACTTGACTCCAAGGAATTGAAGGTGTACATCAATAGTACGCTACCTCTGCAGACAAATGGGTAATTCTTATGACATATTATGTATGTTTAATCTGATAATTTTTTAATCATAACATTAAATTTTCACTGTTATTTTGCAGTCATGATTTGCGGGGTATTTGTGATTTTGTATACTTTATACATCCTCCGTGACAGACGATGTTCCATACCGCATAGATTAGACATTAACAAGTGTAGACTGGGTATTACTGCACTACTCTACAAATATCGGGAGATGTACGTGAAGCATGCGAAACAGGGATTAATGGAGGAGTGGATGGTTATAGAATGACATCATATGAGTTCGGAAGATGAAGTTTTAGTTCGTAGCTTTTGTGATCTGTACACACATGACTTTTTTTGTTTTTTTGTCGTTGTTTCTCAAGTGGATTGTCTTATTGCTATGTACATGGAATTTTACGTGTGAAGTATATGACAGCATCACTTTTCAAGTTATAAAATCTAGTAATTGTCTTCCACAGGAATTGCTTTCGTGAACTGTTATTTTTTGGTCACAGGTTATTTTGGGTTTATATGCACATGGATGGTCACATTTGAAGATTGGTCACAGATCATGAGTTGCTTTACACTGGATCACCGATTACGTAATCACAAGCAGTTACTGTACATGATCTTTTATTGTTAGAAAATATCACAGATAACTTAATTCAGTAGCATATAACTTTTTTTTGGGAGCCAAATTTAATCCTTTTTGCATTATTGGTCAGAGATAACTCTATTTTGTGTCACATGTCATCACATTATGTCCCAAAACTATTTGGTGATTACATGTATTTATTATTGGTCACATTTAAATAGGATTTAGGTCACATGTTCATCATATTTTGGTCACAGAGTTGTTACGAAGTCATATCTCAATTTTTTTTTCCAAACCATTGGTCGCGTCTTTGAAGTTTGATCACGTGCATTTGTATGATTCATCATGTCACAGTTCTAAATTAGCAATGATCACACAATGCAATAACAACGTTTATGTGTTTGATATCAGGTCACAGGTCCTACTATGTGAGGAATAGGGATTTACAGCCAACTAAATTACATAATTTTTGACCATGTCTGAATGATTGTATTAACAAACAAATACTCAGATTCAAATAAGATTTTACACACTTGAAAAAACAATGGATTGCATATGACGTCAATCTTGTATTACAAATGAATGTTTTAAAAACACAATGGTCACATATATTCATCGCGAATGTATTGCATTGACAATTATTAGCTCAATGGGCCAAGATTGGAGCATCTCCTACGGTTGTGACCATGTTCTCCACAGCGCCCACATTTCACTGTTGGTTTCCCTTCTCTGGATAATCTCTTCCTCTTCTCAGTTGGCCTTTCACAACTCCGTTTCTGGTTAGGATCTAAGATAATTTCATGAAGCACTTCTTTAAGCAATGTCCATTCACTTGGATTTTCAACAGGATATATAGAGTCTTCGTATGCGTTCAAGTATGCATTACGTGTGTAATAATAAGAACAGAAAGTATATTGATCCCTTTTTGTATTTGCAATTATGGCCAATGCGTGTGGACATGGTAACAAATCAACTTGTAGCATCCTGCATATGCATGTCTGTTTTTCAATATCAACAACGAAAGTTGTCATATCACTGCTAACAGAAAACACTGACTGGTTGGAAGGAAAAACCTGGGAGAATATAATCAAATGGACAAATTACGTCAGTTCAAACAAGTATCTACCCAACAGTCACAGTCTTCAGGTGTATGTCACAAATTATATATCTGAGCAAGTCACAGTTGCACAATTTAATGTCACAGAATTGTATGAAAATGTCATATGTAGTTGCACAGCTTAATGTTACAGGATTGTATAGAAATGTCACATGTATTGAGTTGAGATCACATATATAAAAGGCGCATAAGCATACAAACATATGTTATCACAGATGTGAATTTCAAGTCATATTAGTTCATGCAGCTGTCGTATGAGTAGTTGTTATCGTCAAAATTAAAACTTACCCTCAGGTTCTTTAAATCTATACTTATTTTTCTGATCTTGTTCTCGTATTTGCTTGTCAACTTTGTGAAAGTCCCATACGCGTTGTCTCTGTGTTTACAAAACCAGTTTTGCGTAGTTTGTCGTAATGACTCCAGTAGGCATACGATTGGATAATTTCTGGCTATCTTTGTGACTGCATTGACTGATTCCACGATGTTCGATGTCATTGTTGAATACCTATTTTCTGGCATATGGATTCGTGACCACTTTTCAGGTCCAACCTCAGCCTGCAAATATGTATTGCATTGAGTAATATCATATAACTACAATATGTAACCATTCCAATGTTTTGTGGAAAATTATATTGAAGTACTGCAATACCAGGTAAGCGCTAATCTTCTGATTCATTGTGTCTAGTTGCCGCATATGATATTCAAACTCTTCCAATGTGTAAGCTCTGATAGCTGAATTGAAAGCTTGTGTAATGTTTTGTCAAGATTTCCCAAAATGTGACTTCAAGTTCTGCAGCAAATGGTACGAACATATACCATGATAGGTTCCCGGATACACATGTTCTATTGCATTCTTTATACTATTATGCCGATCCGATACAAAATATAGCCCTTCTTTATTCCCGTACGCCTTTTTCAAGTTTTCTAAAAACCATATCCAAGATTTATCGTTCTCATTATCTCCAATCCCAAATGCAATGACGAATACACTGTTACTTGTATCTTGCGTACACACTATGAAAAGTGTACCTCCGTAGTGATCATTCAAGTACCTACCGTCAACCACAATTACAGGCCTACAATGTTTCCAATCGCGTATTAATGCACCAAGTACCATAAAGCAATACTTGAAGTGATTGTGACTGTCAACCTCCAAGTTTGTGACCGTCTCGGGATTATTTTGTTGAAGCATGTAGAAAAACCTTGGTATGTTACCGAACGAATCGGTCGGATCACCTGTTATCATCTTCAGGGTTTGCTCACGAGATCTCCACGCTTTCGAATAATTTAAATAAACCCTATAAGTATGCAACATATCACTGCATATATCATTCGGTGTGTATATAGTACAAGATGATGTATACTTGTACTTGATGTTAGAGGACACAATTGTAGCTAATAGTTGCCTGTGTGACCCCAGCACTACATTTGATGCACATGTGTGACTACCAATCTTCCGAATCTTAAACAGTTCTGTTTTACCCCATTTGGATGCTCTGCATATCCAACTACATCTCTCTTGTGAGCACCTCACAACATATTCTTTCTTGTCTGCTCGCTCCACCATAAACTCAAACATATTCTGTATGGCAAAAAGTGACAGACTTAACTTTAAAATATCTTTATCACAGAAGACTCTTCCTTCTTCGACCTCTCTACCATCTGCAACATAATCAACTGGGATTTCGTTGTCATAAATGTGACTTACATTTTCAATTGCTGCTTCGCAAATGTCTGATGCCATATCCTACAACGTAGATAACTCACCAACAGCATGTGGATTAACTGGAGTGTGATAGACAGTTTATCTACTTCTGCCTCCGTAACATCAATGATTAGTGGGTATTTAGTAGGTTCGCGCTCCATATCCTTGAGCATGATGTAAGAGAGCACATTACTGTCATTTCTGATTCTAATTGGAGGCAAATCGTCATTCAGTGTGTACTTCAATGAGACTGCTACCTTTGTAGGATCCAAATCGAACTCCTTCATTACCGTGTCCACAAGGTTTACATATCTACAATTTTGATCTACCAACGCCAAAGAAGTTTGAGATGCATGCAATGTGCACACGTGCAAATACACCCTTTCTACAAATTAAATTTACATTTGTTAGTGGTCTAGTGATGAAAGTGTAACAATTGACAGATTTTGTGTATGAATTTCTAAAATAATAGGCATGCACGCTTTCCATAAAGTCGAATGCATGGTAGAAACATAAATCATGGGTTAGGCATTACAATTCACATACACAAGGTATACGCATTAGTCACATATACAGCGCGCACTTAATTTTACGAGTGTTTTCATTCATGTCATATTTTTGAAAGTACGTCATGTAAGAATGAATATGACAGAATATCACATGGGTCACAGATCATGTATCAAAATTGTCTCACTCAGATTATGTGCAGTAGTTCTATTACTGAGTGACTCAGGTCACATTCTTCAAAAAGTCAATCACGGAGAATATGAATTTCAATATTGTTGAGACACACTTTAATTCATTCATCACATGTCTCATATGTGGCCTTCATATTACATTGCATACAATACACGCATTGGTCACATAGTCAGATATCAGATCATTTGTCGAAGCACGTACCTGTACTCTATTTTCAGCGATGATTAGGACCTCTGTGACTAATGTTAGATTTCTTCTGCTGCAAATATGACTGTATTAATAAATTGATAATCACAGTTTGAAATTCAATGAGTATTCTTGTCTCTCGCGATTGTATTCGATTAACCGAACACAAATTCAGAGTATGTGACTCGACGTTTCAATCGCGGGTGAGATCGTGAAATTTATCATCGAAATCAGTGATAATTGTTACCTGCGTCGTTATCGTCGGCGGCCTGAATAGGTTTTCACGGTGAGAACGCATAATGCCAGCTGAATTTTTCAATTTTGGGATGTCGATTTATACTGAAATGAGTCATGATATAGAAGGGAACTAGACGTAATTTTAGGAAACGGCTGTAACTATATATATATGCGCACCTGATATATGCTTTGGTGTATACTTAGTGTCTGAACTATAATTTTTTCCCTTATTTTTTTGGATCATTTATCACTCACTTTGGGCCATCTCCTTTGGACTATTCTGGGCATTATATTACCTAAATTTTGCCAATATTATATCTCTTGTGGGCTGCCCCAGCTAGGCCTTTTTTTCTACTTTTCATGGGAAAGAAAACAACCCATAAAAGTGGGCTTAATTTCAAGAAGGCCTCTACCATTCCTGGCCAGGTTAGTCTCATTAAATCTCATAATGTTTCTGCTGGCCTTGTAAATGATTTTTCTCTGGCCTCTTGTGACACTTTCATGTCCAATGAGGTACTCCTCTCTTTAAAGGAACTACATAAGGCAGCTCGTGAGTTCCCAAGTGTGTCCCAAACACTTGAGGACGAGGATATGGACTCCGAAAGTTCTGATTTTCACTCTCATGCGGCTGAATTAAATAAACCAAAAGGAGGAAAATGTTTTGGGAATCGCTGACGTGAAAGAAGGTAAAGCTCCATGGGTAAACCTCTTCAAAGACAATCGGAAGATGGAGGAAAATATTAAGATAAAGGCCTTCGAAAATCAATTAGATGAAGTTGTCTTGAACGAATTGGATGAAGATAATATTGAGAATTCATGGGGATACGGGCTTGTTGGTTATTTCGCCAGTCGGTTTCTGGGAAAAGTGGCTCTTCTCCAACTTTGTGGCTTGTGGAAGGTGGATTATAAATATTTTGTACATGCAAATGGTGGGTTGGTGTTCAAATCCAAAACAGATGTGGATAGATTAAGTGTATTGCATGGGGGTCCATATTTGGTTTATGGGAGATCGTTAATGCTAAAAATTATGCCACGTTATTTTGACTTTGATGATAAGGACGTGAGTATTATGCCGGTTTGGATAAACCTATCGGGGTTGCCTTTAGAATTTGGGAATACGAATGTCTTGGGAAAAATTGTGTCTAAGGTTGGAAACCCATTTCAATCGACGAGATTATGGCAACTAGAGGCCTACTTTCCTGTGCAAGAGCTCTTGTCGAAATTGATGCTTCTATTCAACTTGTGCAGGAGGTTAAGATTAGGCACCCAAATGGCACGTTGAGGGAACAAGAAATTGTTTTTGAACATGAACCAAAATTTTGTGGTTCTTGTAAAGTGTTCGGTCATACTTCTCTTGGATGCAATATTAAACATGTCAGGGGAGACAAAGGTAAGGCCCAAAATGTGGTGTCTTATAATGTACAAACTCATGATGCTCATGGGACAAAAAAACATGCTGGAAAATCAGCTGCTATTTCACAACTTCTTCCAACTGGGACAGCAAATTGTGGGACCCATGGGGATGGTGAAGTGAGAGCCCCAATTGGTAGAGAAAAACCACAACCCCTTAATTGGGCACATTTTATTCATGAAATGGCTTGAATTGATATTAGTCTGGATACGACAGAAAATGATTTGTGGTAAAGATAAGATACACTTGGGCCAGAAAAACCCGTGCTCACGTGTCCCATGCTACTCGGGTCAGAACGTAAGCTAGTGATGCTTTCGGCTATTGGACTTTACCATCTAGGATGCAGCATTCGTGCTGCTTGACAGCAATCTGGGATTTTGGATGAGCAACAAAGGCAGCCCCTTTACCAAAATACAGAGCAATTAATTGATGTCCCTCAAGGTCAGACTCTCGATCAGGATGAGGAACCGTTTGTTGAGGTTGTTAGCAAGAAAAATCGGGCTGTTTTGAGAAAAAAATCTGCTCTTGATGGGTGCTCAAAATCTGGTCCAATTTCATCATCTTATTCAAATGAGGAGATTCAGATCATTTGAAAAATGAAAAACTCAAAGGTAAGGTCAAGGAGAAAAGAAAGCCGAGTTCGAAAGTAGACAAGAAGAAGGGTGCATCCCTTGCTTCTACATCATGAAGATCGCTTCTTGGAATATTAGGGGTATGAATCCACCCCTTAAACAAAATGAGATTCGAGAATTTATCAAGCAAAATTACATTGATATTATGGGTATTTTGGAGACGAAGTTGGTTGATCGAAAATTGAAGAGAATTTTGCGAAATAATTTTGATGGCTTCATGGATGTAAACAACTTTTGCACTCATAGAGCCAGACGAATATTGATTTTGTGGAATCCATCCAAAGTATTTTTGGATGTGATGGAGGTTCATCCACAAATCATTCATTGTAGAGCTACTTGCAAGGTAACATCCTATACCTTTCTCATTAGTTTTGTTTATGGATTTCATACTTTGGTTAACCGACGCCCACTTTGGATTAACATTATGGAATTCAACGCTAAAGTTTCTTTGCCTTGGATGATTCTTGGTGACTACAACAATGTGCTCAAATTTGATGAGAAATGTAATGGGGTGGATGTTACTCCTTATGAAATTAAGGATTTTACCAATTGTTGCCTTCATGTGGGTCTTATGGATGTGCGTTCCATTGATTGTTATTACACGTGGACTAATAACTCGGTTTGGAGCAAAATTGATAGGGCAATGGTCAATGATTGTTGGGTGCAAAATGGGGCATATGTTGATGCAAATTTTCTACCTTCCGGATGCCTTTCCGACCACTCCCCTTGCGTTGTTTCCATTTATGACTGTGTTGGGGCGCTAAAAAACCTTTCAAGTTTTTTAACATGTGGACTAAGCATGAGGACTTTCGTGATCTTATTCAAACTTGTTGGAACTTTAATGTGCGGGGGACAAGGCAATTTATCCATTGCAAGAATTTATGCAAACTAAAGGGAGTTTTGAAGGAGCTTAATATTATTGGCCACATTTCGACTAGGGCAGATGAGGCTAAAAATGAATTAGAGGCTGCCATATTACAACTACACAATCAGCCCATGAATGAGAATTTTCAACATATGGTTGCTAAATTGAGGAAAATTGCCGTTGGTTTGTTTGAAGTGGAACGTAGTTTTTATTATCAAAAGGCAAAATGCATCTTCCTCAAACAAAGTGACAAATGTACAAAGTTCTTTCACTCAATGGTTAAAAGGAACTCTAGGAGGAATTTTATTGCTACCATACTCAAAGAGGATGGGACGTATACTATATCATAAGATCAAGTTGCTACGGAATTTGTAAAATTTTACAATACATAGCTAGGAAAAAATTGCCCAACTCGGCCTATTGATATGGAAATTGTTACAAACGGTCCCTTGGTTTCATTGAAACAAGGTAACTCTTTGATTTGAGACATTTCTTATGAGGAGATCAAAGCAGCACTTTTTGATATTGAAGATGATAAGTCTCCCGGGCCGAATGGTTATACTTCTTATTTTTTCAAGAACACATGGGGGACTATTGGTGATGACTTTGTTGGAGCTATCATGGAGTTCTTCTCTTCGAGTTCCATCCTCAGACAAATCAATCACACGGTCATTGCTTTAGTGCCTAAATCTGGTCACACACCGCATGTTGGGGATTTTAGGCCTATCTCTTGTTGTAATATTACTTACAAAGTGATCGCAAAAATTCTTGCTTCTAAACTGAGACCCATTTTAGGTAATATTGTGGACCATGCACAAGCTGCTTTTGTGGAAGGTGGGAGTATGACGGAGAACATTCATCTTGCCCAAGAACTCAAGAGGTAATACAATAGAAAAATGGTTGCTCCAAGATGCCTCCTAAAAATTGATCTTACGGAAGCTTATGATTCGGGAAGTTAGGATTTCCTTAGAGATGTTCTTGAAGGGTTGAACTTTCCCTCGAGATTTGTAAGTTGGGTCATGGAACATGTTACTTCTCCAACATTTTCCATAGCTTTGAATGGGAGTACACATTGATTCTTCAAAGGTAGGAAAGGCCTCCGGCAAGGTGATCCCCTCTCCCCCTTTTTGTTCGTGCTTTGTATTGAATACTTCTCAAGAATGCTTAGAGCGACAACTAATGATAGTGATTTCAACTATCACCCCAAATGTAGCCCCCTAAAGATCACCCATTTAGCTTTTGCGGACGATTTGATGC